AAAGAGTGCTCCTTACAAAGCACTCTCCTAGGAGGGTGTGCAGTGATTTCTGGTGACTTTTTTCCCCCCTCCTATGCTGTGTGAATCATGTACTTATGTTGTCAGAAGAGTGGGAAAAGCAAACACCTCTCCTTTGTTCACCATAGGGCATGTCTACATGTGCATTAATGCGCTGTAATCGGTGCTACTGCGCAGTACTGCCGGCACATGTCTTTACGTGATGCTAATGTGCAGTAGACTAATTCTATTGCACGTTAGCATGGCTTTTGCCATGATGTGCTAATGTGCAGTAGAATTAGTCTACTGAGCTTTCAGCGTCTCTTGTAGATGCGCCCATGGTGTCCACAAGTTCTTCGGGAGCAATCCTGCTCTCATTGAAGTCGATTGGAGTTTTGCCACGAACCTCGGTGGGGCCAGGATTTCGCTCTTTAACTGTTCCCCCTTTGCCTGTCAAATACTCAATTCTTTAATCCAAGCGTAGCATTTATTTTTCTTCAGCGTTGCAGCAGATAAGAAGAATCTCTTGGGGGTGACTTTGTTTCTACTCTCCGTACAGTTTATTTAAGATGAGTCGTTTATCAAAGGAAGGCTCTGCATTGTTGGCAGCTTTGGCATGCCGCCCCTCTGAGGTGTTTTCCCCATTGTCATCAGGGCTTTTGTTCAAATTTACATTCACGGTATTTGAACTTTTGTAAATTTGAACCAAAAAAATTGTTTTCCCCAGCTTTAATGAAAACGTTTAAGCCAAATCCGACTAATACCAAATCCAGAGCAGTTCCTGACCTTTATATTTTTTTCTGTTAAAGTACAATTTATCCTTTTTCGCCAAGAGAAGGTGAATGTACTCATGTAATGAAAGGAAGAGGTAATATCTAGAAATGAATAGTAGAAAGATCCGAGTTATCAGTGTGCTATTCCCTGCCATTAAACTTCAGGAAGTCAACTCTTTGTCCCCATAATTGTAGCAGTAAGTTGCAAATGAGGAAAGAGACCTGTTAGTCGATCACAGGAAAAGTCTGAGCCATCAATGCAGCCATGAAAAAGATAAATGTGATACAAGGCTGTAGCAGGCATTGGTGTTTCCAGTAGAGACAGAGGAGGTATTAATTAATACCTTTGTTCAAAGCACTGATAAGACCTCACATGGAATGAGTTTGTTCAAGGTAACGGAAAGCATATTTCATGGCAGGAAGCCAAAAAACCTTCAGCCTAGCAGAACGAGGTCTGAGAATGGGTATGGCTCTTCCATCCACTGTATCAAGGGTAAGAACCAAGAAGGAAGGAAGAATTATTTAAGCTAAACTACAATGTTAGCACAAAAACAAATAGATATGAACTAGTCACGAACAATGTTAGGCTGGAAATCGGAAGGAAGTCGAACCATCAGACAAGGTTCTGAAACCGTCTTCCAATAAAGATAGTGGAAGCAACCCAAATTGGGCAAGTTCCATCCTAACTCCAAGTAATGTTGATGGTGCAGGATCGCCGTTTGATCTGGCCAACAGGGCTGTGACGTACTGTCCTAGTGTATTTTAAACAAGCCTAAAAAAAAATTTCGTATAAGA